CACACACACACAAAGATATTTGGAAACTCCTTTCTGGTTTTCTCTTTTACTCATTAGTCCTTCAGGAATGTTTTATGGGGGGCTGAATCGATGACTAAACATGAAATTGCTGGCTGCTCTGGCAGAGGACCACAGCCCGGATCCCAGCACCCACCCTGAGTAGCTCAAAATGTCCTATAACTCCTGGTCCAAAGGCTCTGATACCTCTCTGACCAGCCAGGGCACCTACATTCACGTTCCCATGTCTGTGGGCATGAGTGAGTGCTCACATCATACGCGCACACACACATTAAAAATATTTTTCAAGAATGTCTCGTTTCTTTTCACTCCACGTCTTAAGTTTCTCATGTACTGACTTAAAGTTTAACTTTACTTTTACTTGTAGTTGGAAATTATATCTGGTTTGATTTCAGTCTTGTTGACTGTGGGAAGACTTGTTTTTCGGGGAAGCTGTCTTTGAGGAGAATGTATTCTGTTGCTGATGGTGGGGTGCTCTGTGAGTCTAAAATGTCTGTCTCGTCTGCCGTGACACACACAAATCCACCATGTCCTTTCAAAGTTCTGTCTTCATGTATTTCGGTGCTCTAATGTGGGATACATACATAATTATTTATCTGCTATTGAATCAACCCCTGTGTCATTACATAATGATTCTATTTATTGCAACAGTTTTTGACTTAAAATATACCATTTCCTCACATTAACATAACTGCCTCTGCACTCTTGGCTGTTATATGCCAGAAATATCTTTTTTTTTTAATATACATTGGTTGACTCAGGCAATTATAGCAAATTGCCTTAAACTATGTAGTTTATAAATAATACAGTTTATGCCCTAGTTCAGGAAGCTAATAGTTCAAGGCTGGGATTCTGGGAGAGAACTTGTTTGCAGACTTGCAGTTTCTTGAAGCACTGTCACATGGCAGAAAAGAAGAAAACATCTTTGGAGCCCTTAGAAAGATTGGAATCCAAACAATGAGGGCCCCGTTCTCAGGAACACATCAAACCTAGATTACGCCCTGAAGATCTTACCTCCTAGATATATTACATTAGTGGGTAGGACATGAACACACGAGTTGGTGGAGAGAGGGGCACAGTGCTCAGGTCCTAATGTCTCTCCATTTCCAACCCATCTGTGGTTTTAATTCTGTGGTGACTCAGTTGCTCATGCCACATAGTGGGATCTTCAAAGTCCATTTAGCTATTTTGACTTTGATTAAAAAAATTTAGGTTTTTTTCTGATTATTGATAAGCAAGGACCTATTACTGGTACTTAGATTGTTTTATGCCCATCTTTTGTCTTTTGCTCTGCCTCTCTTTCCTTGTGCTTTGTTGAGGTTTTCGTGGTGCTAAGTTTTCATTTCCGCCATCTCTTATCTCCGTCTTTTATGGGGTATTTTTCTTTGTGGCCACTGTGGAGCCTTACAGAAAACACATAATAACTATGACAGCATCCTTTTAGCTGACAGCTTAATTGCATACAGCACTGCACACATTCCATGTCCTCCATGTCTCAACTTTCATATGTTTATAGTTTAGCTATTAATGGAATTTATAGTTGTATTGGGGATGCTTTGTCTTCTGCCTGAATAAAAAGTGATTTATGTGACCTCATTCGCATTGGTTCCATCTCTGCTTACACACAACTGTGCGTTTATATTCTCATATTCATCCGGAATGTTTCGCGTTCTTTCATTTCTACTCAGATACTTCAGTTTAGCACGTCAGACAAGGCAGGTCCTTCAGCATCTGTTTGAGGGAGTGGGTATCTCTCTATCATATCTCAGGGTGGCTTTGCTCAATATAGATTTCTTTTTGATGGCAGGGTATTTGTTTGTTGTTTTTTTCTGCTCTGAGGATTTTGAATATATCCTCTCATTTTTTTTATGTACCACCAAGATTCTGGTGAGCATTATTTAAGTCTTTGGACAACTCAAGTACTTCTGCATTTTTTTTTTCTGCCTTCAAAATTCTATCTTTGTCTTTTGAGTATTTGACTATAACAAACCTCATTGTTTATTTTGATAATTCTTTAGCAATCTTTGGATGCCAATTTTTCTTCATAGACTTGGGAAATTTTCAGTCATTGTTTCTTTAGATAATTTTCTTTTTTTTGGTTTTGATTTTTTTCTCGGTTTTATTAATTATTATTATTTATTACAATGTATAAACTTTGTATCCTGGTTGTGGTCCCCTCCCTCATCACCTCCCAATTTCACCCTCTCTCCCTCTCCTCCCCCTATGCCTCTCCCCCAGTCCACTAATAGGGGACTTCCTCCTCCCCTTCTAGATGACCTTAGCCTATCAGGTCTCATCAGGACTGGTTGCATTGTCTTCCTCAGTGGCCTGGTAAGGCTGCATCCCCCAGAGGGAGGTGATCAAAGAGCAGGCCACTGAGTTCATGTCAGAGACAGTTCCTGTTCCCCTTACTAGGGAACTCACTTGGACACTGAGTCTATGGGCTACATTTGAGCAGGGGTTTTTGATAATTTTCTACCTCTTTATTTTTGCTGTTTTTCTGCCCCTCAGGTCTTTCTATACTTTTTTTTTCTCCTCTGAGATACTCCTGTTAATATGTCTTTAAATTACTGATTCTTTTTTAAATTTATTATTATTATTATTAATTAGTATGTGTATGTATGTATGTGTGTGTGTGTGTGTGTGTGTGTGTTGTGTATGTTCAGGTGCCTGCAGGGGCCAGAAGAGCTGCTGGAGCTGGAGTTACAGGTGGTTGTGTGCTAGCAGATGTGGAAGCTGGAAACCAAACCGAGGTCCTCCAGAAGAGCAACTGCTGAGCCATCCCTCCAGCTCCAGAATTGTCGACCTTATCTTCTTTTTGGTAAAGCCTGCTGCTGAGTCCCTTCCATGAAAATTTCAGTTCATCTATCATAGTTTTAACTATAAGATTTCTGCTTGAGTTAGTTACATCATTCAAGCTCCAAATTTTCCACTTGGTTCTTTGTAATTGTTTCTGTCCTTCATTAGCTCTTAAGTCTGTTCTTTCTCTATTTCCCTTTTCTATCTATTCTTCTGTAGCTCAGTGAACCTCCTTAAGATAATTGTTTTAAATTATTTTCCAGACAAACCACGGAGCCTGGTGTGTATTAGGGGGAGTAGATTCGAAACTTATTTTGGTCCTTTGTGTCACATTTCCTTGACTGTGTGTTTTACTTTGGCACCTGCACCTCCAATACTGGAACCAGCAGAGTTGTTGTGCGAGGTGGAAATTCTGGGAGGCTCTTCCGCCAGCACGAACATGTGTTCTTTGGGCTTGTACGGACACATTTCTAGAAGGTTAATGGTTTCATGAACCTGTGATTTGGTTCTTCTTTTGGTGTTTGACTTCTCTGCTGTGAGCTGAGGTGTTGAAGGAGTCCTGTGTTTCTCTCTCTCTTTCCCTGTGGAGAAAATCTAAGGCGTTCTAAGCCTGCTTCCAACATCACAGAGCCGTATGAGGCTTAGGAAGCCTCCCATCTTTTGCTTCATTTGTAACGGCCCCTCAGGTGTCAAAACTGTCTGTTCTATCTGCTCCATGCCAAACAAGACAGAAACGGGCTCCCCCTACAATGTACAGAAAAACCAGGGGCAGTGAACTGTGCTCCACTCTGCTTTTGAGAAGCTGTGGACTTAGGCAGCATCTCTCGCTGCATAGGAAAGGTGATCTTGACCACACTAGTGGTAAAATCAGCGTTCCTGTGAGGACTGAGGCCTAACTAAGACTTGCTGTTCTTCATCTTGGTGACTGAGGTCTCAGCTTATTTCAGAGGAACCGCAGTTGCGTGAATCTCTGGGGAACTTCAGAGTACTAGTGGCAGTCATTTTCAGTGGCAAGATGTATTAATGAAGATCGCAGGTTATCCATTCCTTAACTATAGCACGTAAGAAACAACGCCGCTGATGCCACCGAGCACTTATCTGCCGCCATTTATGTCATTATGTCGCTTTGTTTCTAGAGTTGACTGAGTTTGGTACTTTCACAGCCCACGGTGGCTTCTAAACCGGAAATGTCTTAGAAGAGAATGTGAAATTAGGCTGAAATAATCACTATCTGTTCCTAAGCGTGGAATTAGAAAGTAGTTCGGACATTTAATAACAGCAGGGAATAATTATTTCCGCAGCCTCTGGGCACAGGGGTGAAGGGAAACTTCAGCTGGACCAACGCTGATGAGAGTGGAGAGTGGATGGATTTTGCTAAGCTTTCAAGGCGTAGAGGGAAAATAACTTACTGTGCCTTTTTTTTCTGACAAGAATGGAGGAAAGCAGTGAAAAGGAGAGAGAAAGATATTGAAAAGATGAAGTAGGTTAGGATGAGTTAGAGTTGACCATGCCCATCAAAATGGGAAAGAAGTACGATTTGTAGATATTTGCAGGCTGGGCATGGTGGTGTAGGCCTGTAGACCAGGCACTCAGGAAACTGAGGAAATAGGAGTACCAGTTTCCAGGGCAGCCTGGGTCATAGAAGTTTTTAGGCTGTGCCTAAAAAGAAAAAAAGGAAGGAAGGAAGAAGGAAGGAAGGAAGGAAGGAAGGAAGGAAGGAAGGAAGGAAGAAGACAAACCAAGCTCCCAAACCATAATATTTATTGGCTTGTTTGATCAATATTAACTAGTTAGATGCTCAATAGTAGGACAGCCCTTTGGTTTCCATAGAATAGACTTATTATTCTCTAGTTATCGTCAACTGTATAAGTCAATCTAAAGGAGACTTTGAAAGATGGGAAGAAGGAGAAATCCCACACAAGGTTCCCTGGAGACCAGGAAGTAGACTCTAGACAAGGAGCTAGAAGCAATGGAGCCCAGAAACACAGTTTCACACAAAGCAGACCCAACAAAACCTGTTCCTTCTAGTCAGGGAACTAAGCAAGGAAACGTTCAGCTCCATCAGTCTTTTGTATTTTAAAATTAAAGATCATAATGGGCAGAATAATTTCACATTTTAATGGGATGCAATGTACTTTGAATTTTTTTATTTTTAAATTGAATGTTATACAGTCCGGGCTGGCCTCAAACATTCTGTGTGCTGAAGATGGCCTTGAAGGATTGGAGGTGTGTGGAGGCACACGTCACCACACTTAGTCTTGTAGGCTCTTGGGGACAGAATCCAGTGTTTTGTGATGTTTGGCAACATCCTAACAAGTCAACTCCAATTCCAGCAGGGAATAGTACATTTTGATGGACGCATGCGATGTTTTAGTTGGTTGTACACTGCCATAACAGAATACAAGAGACTGAACAACTTATAAGCAGTGGAAGTTTCCTTGTTCCTGTTCTGTGGCCGGAATTTTCAGTTTTGAGGTGCTTAATTTACCACGGGCCGTCCCGCCTGTCGCAACGTGGCAGAAGATGTCATGTGGTGAGTGAGATCATTTAAAAGACAGGAAAGGATTCAGAGTCATACTTTCATGGAGAACCCACCCCACGATAACAAACTTTTCCTGTAATAATGATATTAATGAATTAATTCATGATGCTGTAGGTTCATGATGTAATTGGTTTTTTAAAAGGTTCCACTTCTCAACACTGTTGTGTTGAGAAATTAAGTTTCCATGCTATCAACATTGGTAGATACACAATTATAGCAAAATGGATAAAGCTTAAATAATGACTCAAGAACTTGGCTGCTAAATACTTCATTTCCCCTCATGAGTAATGTGCTTACAAATAACACTAACTAAGAGAATAAGAGAGATTTGATTTACGCAGTAGTGTCCTCACTGAAGTGCTATTCAGTCACGACAAGCCAAAAATAACCCTAATCTATCTCCCATGGGCAGTTCTATTGAATCATTTTGCTTGTTTTCTTGGAAAATTGCACTAATCTGAATATGACTTCAAATCCTTGTTTAACAATATTGAAAACTTTTATAATATTACACGAAAAAAGAAAGAGTTGTGGGACACACTGTATTTTCTAGTTTTGGGACCAAAAATTAGTAATTCTCTCCTAAAGAACTAAAAAGGATAGAGCAAACTGTTCAATAATTTTTCTATATAAAAATTAAACAAATCATTATTTTTTAAAACTTCAAAACTGAAAGATTGATGTTACCTATCTCCTAGTTAGGAAAGTGAATGGTTTTAGAAAATAAATTAAGCAATCTTGCACTCAGAAATGAATCCCCCTGGTTATTTTTTCTGAGCTTTATGCTTTTATACCTCATGTGGGTTCTCCAGCTCAGTGACTAATGGCAGCCTGAGGAGTTTCACTCTGGGATCTGCGGATTTGCTGCCTCAGCTTACCTTTTCTAGGAGAAATTGCGGACTCCTTTCCTTCCTCACCACTGTAATGTCAGCTGCTTTCTTAATAAAAACGGGGGGTTGGGGGAGGTTGCAGTGAGATGACTCAGTGGGTAAAAGTATTTGCTTCTCCAGCCTGAGTGAGGACCTCGGATCAGACCTAGGGACACATCATCATCATCATCATCATCATCATCATCATCATCATCATCATAATGAAAACATATTTAAAACTAATTTCATTTTAAGAACATTTTAATCTGGCCAGCCAAAAGTGTTGAGTGATGTAAAACCAAAAGTACTGAGGGCATGAACAAAGCTGAGTTATTTCTGCATGTGAAGGACAGCGATTCACGAATTTAATGGTGATTTTCCAAGATTAATCTACATTTAAAAGATGAAAAACAAGAACAGAAAACAGCAAAATGTCAAGTGAGAATAAGTGATTTCTGCAGTACCACAGGAGGAGTTAGCAGGAAGAATCCAGGTCTCCCACTGGAGTTTAAAAATGTATAATACACAAATGAAAAATACACAAAATCCCAAAGAAACCAAAATCAGCCTCCACTGAAGAGTCTTAAAGGAAGGGGGAGGGGGCCACTCAGTGACGGTCCTCTGGCTGTGACTATTTCAGCAGGTCATGAGTCTGTGTGGCCTGCAGTCAGCAAGACACTTAGCAGTGCTGCAAACTAGGGTTACAGACTAGGTGTCAGACAAACTTTTCACAGGCACGAAACTTTTATAGGGGCAAACATTAATTCTTTAATTGGGCTTGAGGTAGTCATGGCACTTGTAGGTAATAGAAACTTAAGGGATAGAAACTCAAGCTATAATAAAATAAAGAAACTGGAGGAACTGGTTGATTTATAACTGGGAGGGGCCAGCAAAACTGCTTTTAAGAAATGGTGGGTTTGGGGCTGGAGAGATGGCTCAGCATTTAAGACCAAGAGAGGACCTGGCTATAATTTCTGACCATTCAGAACCACATTTAAGTCCAGTTCTAGGTAATCTGGCTGATACCCTCATTGGTGTTAGGGGAATAAGTGGTACAGAGACACACATGCAACCAAAACACTCATACACATAAAACAACTTTTCAAATGGCATTTTTGACGCTCTCTGGTGTCTGTCCTTTGACTCTGCTTTTCTGCCTTAACCTGTCTCTGGGTGTCTCTGTTTGTTGGGCAGATGTTTCCCGGTGCCTGGGAACATGGCTGCATCCATGAAAGGCTCACGGTCTACTGCTTAGGAGATGTTTCCTCATAGTGTTCTAGCAGAAAAGATTTTGGAAGAGTCTCTGACTTGTCCGTGACCCAGCCAGCGTTAAAAGAATATCTGATGCTTTGAAGAATTAGCCTTTCCTAACCACAAGGATTCTTCCTTCTAAAGAGTGTGCTCTTGACAAGGAAAAAGTCAGGGAAGGGAGGCATCTTAGGTGGTGTCCGGGGTAGGAGGTGTGCCAATGAACTTAGTCTTAACCAAGTAACAGGCCTTATAAACACAGGAGGGGAAGGCAAATGCTGGAAAGCATAGCACAGCTTCATGGAGAAGGAGGGTGCGAGCATACTAGGATAAGGCAAAATTCTGCTTAAAATAACAGACTAAATAAGGCCTAATTACAAGGTAGATCTCATTTTAAGAAAATCATCCTATCCTTAACAAAGATCCATTTTTTTTTAATGGCATTTGCTTTTAGTGGTAATTGCAGTGACTAGACAGTCCAACTTGCAGCTATTTGGAATGAGATAATCCTTTCTGAGCAAACACTTGGACTAAAGTCTGTAGGGCAAAGTTGCAATAGTGATATCCCTTTAGATTAGAAGCTAATCAATCATAAGCCATTAATGGAAATTTTAATTAGGCAGCGCAATTTCTGCAAACAGAGAGAAAAAAAAAACAGTCTTGCAGATCTCAGCAACACCTGTACGTTGACGGAGAGAGTTTTCAGCTTCAGTGTGGTGTGTGCAGAATTTCGCAAGCAGTGATTACCCCCGGTGTTGGCGTCAGGCTTCTACACTGTCATGTCACGTATTAACTTGATCGATCCTTGTCATGTCCCCACAGAGCAGGCATTATTATACTTCTCTACTGCTGGTAGATATGAAAACCGAGGCACAGAGAGGTCATACAGCTAAGGAGAGAATGCTAACCCTCCTGCTCTTTTGGTCCTCAGAAGTTCGAAAGTGAGAAAGAACTGAATTTGAATTCTGTCACCACTACTCACCTGCTACACACACACACACACACACACACACACACACACACACTTCGGTCACATTTTAAACTCTTCTTCACCAGGATGTAAAAGTGTGACAGTCATGCTAAGTATTAGTTACTTTTATGTTGCTGTGACTCAATCCCTCACATAAGCAACTGGTTGTGTTAACTCTGAGCCTGCAGTGAGGCAGAACAACATGGTGTGTGTGTGTGTGTGTGTGTGTGTGTGTGTCTGTGTGTCTGTGAGTGTGTGTGTGGCAGAAGCTCTTCACCCCATGCCACACAGGAAACAGAGTGAGGAAATACAGGAAGAGGCCAGGGAAAGATACACAATCTGCCGTGACCTGTTTCCTCTGTCTTGGTCCTGTCTCCTAATTTTTTGCCACCTCCCAATGAGGACATCATGTGAATCCACTTGGAATGAATACATTGATAAGGTCAGAGTCCTCAGGATTCAGTCATGTTTGGAGAGTCTGTCAACAGATGCCTGGGTCCCCAAAGTGTGAGCCCAGGGGTTATTACACAAGGAGTCACAAGACACATTTCCGGGTAGTCTCACTGTAGGTCTAAGAGGCTCTTTTCTTCACTCTATATGTCATTAAGCTTAGCCGTAAGGCGAGAGTGAGGACAAAGAAAGGGACCAAAGCCATTTCTCTGGTTTGGCACAATTGAGAAGTTCTCGCCTATAAGAGAGGGCAGGGCGTAGCCTTCCCCTTGTAGCTTGAGGGGTAGATGAGGTTCAGGGAAAGCACAGATGCAGGATTTTAGTTTTCTCTTATCTTCTCAGACTAGATGCAATAGGAAGAGAGTCAGTCTACCACATCAGGGTTTCAGCTTCTTCTGCTCAGACTCTAGAGGGAAGCCCACCCATAGGCTGACCCAGGCCTCGCTGACTAGTCACGTCAAAATGGCCTTGTGCACAGTGTGACTTGAAGAGAGAGTGAGGACCCTTACTTTTCTCCCCAGACTCCTCAGCTGCTGATGGTGGGCTGTCTTGAGGCCTTTGTGGGCATTTACAGATGCCTCATTAGCCCAAGTCAACAGAAGGGCCTGAAAGAGGCCAGAGATCACAGTCAGAGGCTTAGCTCTAGAGATCTGTAAGTCTAATAGACTGCTCTATGCCCCTCACCGTGACCATGCATTCTGGTTTTATTAATGAATTTGACAATTCAGAATTTTTATTTTTTTTACAAATTTATTTTGCATCCATTATCTTTTCACTCTCCAAGCAAATAATTCCAAATGTAATTCTGAGGCATTATCTAAGTATGTGATAAATATGTGTAGACAACAGAAAAAAAACAAATTTTTACTCATTTATGCTTTTATTTTTTAATAGTAGCTTTTAAAAATATTTTATTTATCTTTATTTTATGTACATTAGTGTTTTGCCTGCATGTATGTCTGTCATGCAGGGTATCAGATTTTGGAGTTAAAGACAGCTGTGAGCTGCCATGTGGGTGCTGGGAATTGAACCTGGGTCCTCTGGAAGAGCAGTCGGTGCTCTTCTGCCGAGCCATCTCTCCAAGCCCCCACTTTTTAGTCCCCTAGTTTTTGTTTTTCATCTTTTAAACTTTTTTTAGTGATTCTTTGTGAATTTCACATCATGTTCCACAATCCCACTCATGTTTCCATCCCTCTACTCTTGTAACTCTCCCCCTGCCACAGAAAACAAGACAAACAAACAAACAAAAAACATTTCTTGGTGGAAACTGCAGTGTGTCATAGTATGTCACACAAAATACCCTTTGCCCAAACAGCTTTCCTTATAAATGTTCATTGCTATGAGTCATTGGTCCTGTTAGAGGCCTCTTGCTTCTGCTACAGTATCAATACTAAATCTTCACGGGGACTCCTCCCAATATCCTGTTGTTGTCCTGTGTCAAGGAGATCCTGCAGCTTTTGGTCCCTTCAGCTCTCTACTGTGATGACCAGGCGAGGTTCAGGGCCCACTCTCCTAACTGCTGCAGCCACTGAGGAGCAGGGACAGCTCTCCAGCTTTCCCACAGCCAGCTTGACTCTGCCCTTAGACAGCAACATGGCCCCAGGTGTCAGGGACAGCTGCATGGCCTTTGGTGGGAACATGGGCCATGGACATCGACCCAGACCCCTGCTTCTGCAGGGCCACAGACATGGCCCTCGGTGGCAGCACAGAGTATTCACATCTGCTTGATCCTCACCACCCTCCTGTCTCCAGTTCCGGCCCTCTCCATAGTGCACAAACCATCCTGCTTCCTTTCTCTCCCGTCTCTCCATCACACACTTGCTCATTGTAGTGGCGTCCTCACTATGTCAATAATGATGTCTTCTTCTGAAAGGTAGGATGGCTAAATGTTTGTCCAACCCAAAGATTCCAAAGGAAGTAAATCCTTGGCTAAAGTTAAATGCAGCAAGGGAAAATTGTAATTCTACATAGAGTCATCCAGGCTCATGGCAAACAACTAGAGAGATTAGCAAATAGGTCAGTGATGGGAAGTAAACACAGTCATCTTTTGTGTCATGGCCACTTGGTGCTAAGTAATTTTTGGTCATGGGAGCTGGTCTCTGCATAGTCACGTATTACATGCCAGGAGCAATGACTAAGATAGCCCCAGGCACAGCCACACGTAAACTCAAGTGAAGTGTCTGGTGATCAAAATCACTCCATGGTGAGTCACTGATGGTCAGGGACACGGGATGCTCTTTGCCTATGTAATTCTGTTCTAATGAAGAACTAATATGATTTATGCAAGATTTAAGAAAAAAAAAACCTTTTTTTTTAATGCCCTTTTGAAAACTTTATGGGTTAACTGTAATACAAACTATCAAATTCCACCTGTCTTAGTAAGGATTTTATTGCTGTGAAGAGACACCATGAGCACAGCAACTCTTACAAAGGAAAGAATTTAACTGGGGCTGGCTTACAGTTTCAGAGGTTTGGTCCATTGTCGTCATGGCAGGAAGCATGGTGGCATGCAGGCAGACATGGTGCTGGAAAAGGAGCTGAGAGTTCCACATCTTGATTTGCAGTCAGCAGAAGGAAACTGTGTGCCGCACTGGGCAGGGCTTTAGCATAGGAGACCTTAAAGCCCACCTCCACAGTAACATGCTTCCTCCAAAGCCACACCTACTCCAACAAGGCCCCAGGTCCTAAGAGATCCACTCCCTACACATTCAAACACTGGAGTTATGGGGGCCTTATCTGTTCAAACCACCACATTCCCTTTTACGAAATTACTCCTTGTCATCTCTGCTGGGCCGAGGACTTCAAAGTCCACGATTATACCTAGGCCAGCCTCTAACTGGTCAAGGTTCAGTGAATAATACAGGAGAGATGAGCTACAGCTGAGTTTGAACATAGATGGGCCTGTGAGGGTGGGAGTGGGGCTGAGGTCAAAGTCCTGGCCTCTGGCAGAGTTTACATATGGCTCATTTTCTGTGGAACTCATTAATCATCAGCACAATTATTAAAATAATCGATGATTATTTATTTATTATTTCCTTAAAAAAACATGTCATGTTTATTTAGTTCACTGTGTGGTACAAAGAATATTATTTACTATGTTATTCTAACTGACAAGTAAAAATTTACACCCACAAAGATTGTGGAAAGAGTTCATCAAATGAATCATCTGATCCATTTTTTTCCCCAGATACTTATTTGTGTGTGTGTGTGTGTGTGTGTGTGTGTGTGTGTGTGTTGTGAAAACACTTAAAAATATGTTCTCAAGGGCTGGTGAGATGGCATGGTGGTTAAGAGCACTGGCTGCTCTTCCAGAAGACTCTGGTTCATATCCCAGATCCCAGTACACATATGTTGGGGAGCAACCATCTGTAACTCCAGTCACAGGGGATGTCACACCCTCTTCTGACCTCTGCAGGCACTGCATGTACATAGAGCACAGACATACAGTGCGGGTAAAATATTCCGTACACATAACATAATATAAATAAATCTAAAAATCTATTCTTTTTAGAGCCATAAAGTAGAGGTTACATTGTTATTAACTATAACCACTGTGAAATGACTGAAATTATTTCTCTTGTCTAAATAAAATATTATATCCTTTGACCTAAATCTTCCTCATTTTTTTCTACTCCCACCCAGCCTCAGCAAAGACTATCATTGTGAACTGACCCCATGATGTAAAGAAATTGAGAAGTGGGACAGTTATTTGGAGTCCTTTCTTGGCATTCAGAGAGTGAAGACAATGTTTATTTAAAATCAGGATCCTGGCTTTTATGAGGGGAGTGCTGTGTCTCTGAATCTATATTGTGAATTCTGCTCTTTTTTTTTCTTATGGTCCAGAGACAAAACTGAGAACATGGGAGATTAATGAGTAAAGAGATCTTCCCTCAGAGAGTTTTGTATGTCCATTAGAAACTGGTACAATGAATCACTCACTCATTCAAAGCAGGAAAATTATGCACCATTCCCTTTCCTGTTGGCTGGAGGGTTTCAGTGTTTCCCAATTAAAATCCGAGAAGATGGGAACTCATAGTCAGCAGTGCCATTTTGATTACTTGACTGAATTCTTCCCATCAGTTCCCTTGGTTGTACACATCTGTACCCTTCCTATTTTTTTTCCCAAAAATCAATGCGCTTGGCTCAATTAGCTTTTTTGTTTTTTTGTTTTTAAATGAGAACGGAAACAAACAGCTGGATTTATGTAAGACATTTCCTTTTCATCCCTCCCTGAAATGAAGTTTTCGGCAGACTGCCTTTCAGCAGCTGAAGGCCAATGTAAACTCAGTCAGCGAGCTGCTGCCCTGTGCATGAACCAAGCCTTCCTAGAGTTTCTGCCAGGGAAGTATTTCCTGGGAGCTGGCAGCAGGCTGCAAAGTGCCAGCTGCATGCTTGGAAGAGGACCCCTGCTTCTGGAGAAGCTGGGACGGCTTTCTATAGCACAGTGGGGAGATTCTGAGGACATGGCCCGGAAGCTGTCTCTATGAACCTCTTGTCAGCACCCCCTCTGGTTTCTTCTCCTCCCCCACCTCCTACAAGGGCAATGGCGTGGATCTCATTTTCCAAACAGGGGGAGAGTGACAGCACGCTGTGAAAATATCTGTTGACTGTGAAAGAGCAGTGTTTGTCCTGTTTCTGTGCTATTGCTCAGGTTAATCATTTTCTCAGTGGGAACAATGCTGCCCAGATAACCAGAGTTTTTTGTTTTTCCCTGAATCTAACGTGGCTGTATCTATGGATACCACCCAATACAGTGAGATGAACAAGGTAGTGATTTAACTCCTTGTCTTATTCAACAAATATGCCTAGTGAATACAGATGGTTAGGATATTCATTATGGAAAGTCAAAGTAGAATGGGCCTCAACCCCAGTGGATTTGGTGATCCTGATCAGAAAAGTCACTCAAGTGAAATTTGAAACTCAAGACCAGAGGGGAGGTGTAAGAAATTATGGGGTCAAGGACTCCACAAGAAGACCACAGGGTCAACTAACCTGGACCCATGGGGGCTCACAGAGACTAAGCCACCAACCAGACAGCATGCGCAGATTGGTCCTATGCCCCCTGCACATATGTACCAGATGTGTAGCTTGGACTTTATTCGGGTCCCCAACAACTGGTCCCCAACAACTCTGACTCTGAGGCCTACCTTTGGATCCTGTTCCTGAACCGCTGCCTTGTCCTGCAATAACTTAATATGCCAGGGCAGGTTGGTACCTATGGGAGACCACCCTCTTCTCTGAGAAGAAGGGGACTGTTATTTTAGAAATTATGTACACAGAGATATTTTATGAAAGAGGTTTGTTGCATGAGATGGAGAGAGGGAAGGATAAAGAGAGACATAGCAGGGGAAAGAAGGAGTTGCCCCAACAGAGAAATAAGAGAGAGTAAGAGAAGGGAGAGAGGAAGAGCACGAGAGAGAAGTAAGAGTCAGGGCTCCATTTATAGCCCCTATACAACTGAACCTTGCCTGCCAGGTGCATCTACCTGACAGGCGACACATGATGATATCATAGGTTGCTAGGTAACCCGGAAGTGGGCTATCTAAATGCTAACAGGTAGAGATGTGGGAGGGGAGAGGATGGGGAGGAGAAGAGGGGAGCTACCATCAGAATGCAAAGTGAATAAATAAATAAATAAAATGTAAAATTTATAAAACATAAAAAAAATATTATGGGAACCCCTCCTTTTTTTCCCCCCAGAGAATTGGCCCAGCCAAGAGGTCAGGAAAAGCCTGTAAAGAGAGTTAGGGCTGAGTTGAGAGCTCTGCAGTAGGGAAAGGGAGAGAAGCACAGGGACATACTGAGGTGAGTGGATGCCTTCTCTTGTAGAGATTACATGCCACCCTTGGCGATCACAGTGAGCAGAGAGAGCCAGTGAAGGTGTGAGTGGGAGGGAGACCATGGCCTCACTCAGCAGCTGGGCCATGCAGTTGAATTCTCAGTGTAGTTCTTTGTCGTAAAGCAGTAAGCACATATCAGCAGTGGGTTTGAGCCAGCACTCTAGTAGAATCAAATTAGCCTTACATCATGTACGTGATTAAAAACAAACAACAACAACAAAAAAAAACGCTTTATTTTAAAATTAGGTTATAGACAAATTTTTGGTTAGACTTTAGAGGATGTTAAAATAAATTGCACAGCATTATCCGATATGAATGTCTTCATGAAAGGAAGTTATATTGAAGTAAGTCATATTAAGAGTAAACAAGCGAATGAAACAGCCCAGATCATGTTACTGTCTATGGGAAAAGGATCAGAAGGAGCCAAGGCTGGAAATCTGCATTGGAAGGGGGTCCAGGGACTCAGATAAAGTTTGCAGAGCCCTAGAGGGGTGGCCTAGTCTAGAACACAGAGGACTGAGGCTCCATGAGCTTGAACAAGATCCATGGCTAGAAGAGGAGCTGCTCCATGTAAATGGACCAAAACTCAAAGACGAATCGTCCACACGTGAGGCCATAAGCAGCTTTTTGTGCTTTATGATGTTGGGAATTTGCTACTCACCTTATATTATTTTTCTACACCAAATTAAGCAGTATGCCAATACAATTTGCACATACCTGGCCTCACAGTGCAAAATCCCACTGACTACATACAGGTCTTTGGTTTTTGCAAGGTTTATACTTTGGGCTTTAGTCTCTGAGTAAACTCCAAAAGCGTGTGTGCATATGTGAGTGCATACATGTGCGCGCGCGCACACACACACACAAGCAAGCAAAATCATTCTTTGAGGGCCTGGACCTTCTCCACTAACTATTCCTCTCAATCCGGACTACTTCTTTCCCCCACTTCATTTTTTTTCCTGGCTTCCCTGATTGCAGCTTTCTGCCCCTCTGTCCATTTTGTTAATTGTTTCTTCCTCCAGATGGGCAGGTGCCTGAAGGCACGCTGTAGGAGAGCTGGCCAGTGTCCTTCCCGTCACCTTTCAGGCCCACAGGCTGAGCTGGTGTGGATGCTCAGGATCCCACAGTGAGTCCTGAAACAGAAGTGAGGGACGGGCTGAATGTCGTGGGAGGGGAGGGTTTTCTAACAGGCCGGGGAGTGGGCACCGGCAATGACAGCTTATTTCGCTGTGTTACTTGAATGCTTTAAAATTTTCATACACATAAATTTTATTACCCTCCCCCCCTAAAGCTAGGCAAATAGCAGATAGACCCTTTAAATACAGACCTCTATCAGGTGACCCGAGTCCTTGTCCTTTTCCTATACAGGATCGTTTCACAGCATTTACATGCACTGACTGATGTGGCTTTTGATTCACACAATAGATGCTATTGTTTTTGTTTCACCCATGAGGAACCAGCTGAGGCAGAGACAAGTTGAATTACTTGTTGAAGGCGGTGAGGCTACGGTGGCAACACTGGCTCAGAGCTCACCAGGACCAGGGTCAAGGACAGGAGCTCAGCCAAGCACGGGGCCAGCACCCACCGCTTCGCCCATGGTGACTGCTCTACTTATTGTTTGGCACATGGCCTTCGCTGTCTTGATCTCATGCCTGAGAATATCTGTGCAAACCTGTTGGAGTGAAATCTCTGAAGGTAGGGTTTTATCTGAGGAACCAAACGTCCTCTTGAGCAATCACACACACAAGCCAAGCTTGGATAGAAGGGTTGCCTGTCCTGGGACTGTCTTCCAGGCTGGTCTTCTAGGTCCAACCCTTCGACTCAGACATGGTAGATGTGTTAGTCAGTTTTCCGTGACTATAACAAAATGCCCCAGGCAAAGTTATAAAGA